ACCAAAATACGCCACCTATTCTTGCATTCTATGGCCAGCTGCTTTGAAAATTCACCTCAGAGTGGATAGAGGTTAGCCACATTGAACTACGTGATATCTCGCAATACTTAGGTTTTGTGAATGGACCAGAAACATCTGGGCATATACGTGCTTTTCATCAAGTGACCATGCCTTTCGGTGAGAAAATGAACCTATCACACTTCACGATAACAAAATCATGGAACCGAACCCCCAGCATATCTTTGGTAGACTGAATAAAGAACATGTGGGACAGGGCTCAGTGTGTCATCCTGTAATCCCAGCACTTTGGAAGGCCAAGGGAGTTGGATTGCCTGCGCTTGCAGGTTTGAGATCAGCCCAGGCACGTGGTGAGAGCTCAACTCCAAAATAAATTAGAAATTAGCTGGGTGTGGTAGCGTGTGCCTGCAGCACTGGCTACTTGGAAGGCTGAGGCAGATGTGTCACCGGAGCCCAGGCGGTTGATGCTGAGATGGCTCTGAGTGTGCCAGTGCACTCCAGCTTGGGGACTGAACGGGACCACAACTCAATTTTAAAAAGCGGTATATATTCTTGATGAAATACTAGACCCTCAATGTAAAAGAAGATCAAAATTTTGTCATATTCAACAATATCTATGCAGCTGGAGACCTCATTTTAAATGAATTGTTACAGAAACAAACAAAACAAAATACTACATGTTCTCACTCACAAGTGTGTCCTAAACACTGAGCACAAGAATGGAGATAAAAGAGACTGAGAACTGATTTAAGCAGAGAGGGAGAAAGAGACATATGTACACAAAACTACCCCCTGGATACCATGATCATTTCTGAGATTGGGTGGGCTGTTCAGAGGGAAAAATCTTGCCTTCCTGCCAGAAAACTGTGTAAGTAATCCTCACATGTACGCCATTATTCTAAAGTTATAACATACCCAGAAAAGAAAACTTAACATAGAGGATTCACAGAGACATCATATTCGAGAACTTAAAGCCCAGTCTCATTAAAATTTAAAGAAGGAAAATGCTGCAAGTTATGCCCTTAGATCACTGTGGCACAAAGCTTAAGCAACAATCATAAGAGAGGCATAAATACCAAAATATTTGTAAATTAAGCAATAGGTACCTCTTTGGGTGGCTTTCTTAGGGTACACCTTTTTGTTTAGCGTGAGCCTCTTGATGCTAAACCACTTAGAGTGAAGTGGGTCTGTTAAGGGTTCCTGGATGGGACATCCTCTCCAAACCTCTCTGTGGTATAAATCTATAAGCCAAGAATAATAAGAGAGCCACACAATTGCAAAAGATTTTAAATTAAGTACTTCAGTGACTTATTGGAAGACATTCATATGGTACTCTCCGGTCACAGATGTGTCCTTACAAAATGACTTTCTCTCAGGGGAACCACAATGTTCCTTCCTAATAGAAACCTAAATCATCTGACATACACTAAAGCCAGTGCTTCTTTGTCTCAGCCAGTAAGAGATTTCAGTTTGGGCTCGATGTCACAGCCGGTAATCCCGCGCATTTGGGAGTCTGAGGTGAGCCCGCAGATTCGCGACGCACCTGGGGAACTTGGCGAGACCTCATCTCTACAATAAACCCAAAATTAGCAGAGCGTGGTACTGCTCGCCTGTAATTTTAGCTACTTGGAAGGCTGACAGGGATGTATCGCCGGAGCACAACAGGTCAAAGGTGGGGTGGCCGGAAGCGGCCACTGCACTCCAGTCTGGGCGACAGAGTGAAACTACAACTCAAAAAAAGAAAAAAAGAATTTTCAGGGTACATACCACTCTCCTCCGCACTGGGTGGCATCTGCAATAATGTAAAAGAGGAGAGTGTAAAGAGTAGATTAAACTGTGAAATGCACAAGTATCTTTCATTGATGTTTCAAAACCCATTGGTTGAGTCCAAGTTAAAAGTCCTCAGCCGGGCTCGGTGGCTCAGCCTGTAATCCCGCGCCTTTGGAAAGCTGAGGTGAGTGGATTGCCTGAGCCCGCGGGTTCGAGACCCGCCTGAGCAGCGAGATCTCATCTCTAAAATAAATCAAAAAATCAGCTGGGTGTGGTAGCGCATGCCTGTAATTCCGGCTACTCAGAAGGCTGTGGCGGAAGGATCGCCGGAGCCCAGCAGGTCGAGGCTGCGGTGGCCCGAAGCGGCCACTGCACTCCAGTCTGGGCGACAGAGTGAGACTCCAACTCAAATAAATAAATAAATAAATAAATAAATAAATAAATAAATAAATAAAATAAAAGTCCTTAAAACTAGGAAGAGATAAAACTCGTGAAAAAAGATAGACATTTTCTACACAATTTCCCCTTACCAGCGATTTAAATGAAAAATTCACAATTCCTAATTCATGGATAAAAATAGATGGTAAAGGAAATGCCTGCACATTAAAAAGTATGGTGAATGCTATCATTTAAAAATGTCTAACTGTGTCAAGTATGAGTTAGTAAGAAAAGGCCACTCAGTACAACAGCACTAAGAGAATTCTATGTGTCATACCTAATGTACATTTTTGGACTTTTGTATCTAAACTTTTTGACAAGGGCCAAATTCAGAAAAATTACCATATTCCTCGTGAAAATGTAAAGTGGACTTACCTGGGGAGTACGCGATTCTGATTCACAGGAGGTTTTCTCCACATTCTCCTCGCCGACTAGGAAAATTCAGAGAAAATATTATTACCCAGATAATTGGTGATTTTGAATTAATTTGGGTGCTTTGAGATAGTATATGAAGGAGGTTGATTAAAAAGCATGGTCTTAAGTTACTAGGGCATCCTGCTGAATCAAAGACGGATGGCAAAGGAGAAGTGTAGAGAGTAAATAATACAGATACTTTAACTTAGTGCTAATGTTCACCTTACGTAACAGCAGATAGTCTGTAAAAGATCTTGAACTATGTATTGGGATTTAGCATTTGAATTTCCTTATTCCTTCTGCCTGTCTTGAAATCCAGCTAAATTTCCTTCCTTGCATCACTAAACATTATCCTGCTAGTGTCTTTACTCAAATTTATGAGATTTGCACTAGTTTTAGGCAACATTTTATTTCCAATAGGCTGGTGGCTATTCAGGATATAGTAACTAGTCAAAAACTTGAGTGTTCATCCTGGTGAAAGATTTGGAATGAGTGTTGATTGTCCTTAATCCAGATGTATCAGAAAGGCCCCCAAAACAATGGATTTCAGGCTATTAACCTAGTCCTGCATTGTGTTTGTATTTTCATTCTTACCACTTTAATCTGGCAGGATTTGAGTGTTTGGGGGCTTATGTAGATAATAATATACAATCCACTAAAATACGTCTCCAATTCTTATATGCTTTGACCAGCTGCTTAAAAAAATCACCTCACAGTGCATAGAGCGTAGCCACATTGAACTACATGATATCTCACAATAGTTCGAATCTGTGAATGGAGCAGAAACATCTGGACATCTCTATGCTTTTACAAAAAGTGACCGTGGCATTCTGTGAGCAAACCAACCTATCACCATTCACTATAGCGTAACCATGTAACTGACACACAAGCACATCTTTCATAGTATGAATAGAGTATGTGAGACGGGGATCAGTGGCTCACCCTGAAATCCCAGCACATTGGGAGGCCAAGGGAAGGGGATTCTCTGAGTTTGCAGGTTTGAGACCAGCCCAGGCAACTTGGTGATACCTCACCACCAATATATGTAAGAAATTAGCAGGTTGAGGTAGCGTGCACCTGTACCACTGGCTAATTGGAAGGCTGAGGCAGAAATATCACCGGAGCCCAATCAATCAATTCTGGGATGGCTGTGAATGTGTCACTACAGTCAGGCCTGGAGGACCGAGTGTGACCGCAACTTAAAAAAAAATGTGGTGCATACTCATGATGGAATACTAGACCCTCATTGAAGAAGAAGATCAAAATGTTGTCATTTTCAACAATATTTATGCAGCTGGAGACCCTCATTTTAAATGCATTGTTATAGAACAAAAAATTAAATACTGCATGTTGTCACTCACAAGTGTGTCCTAAACACTGGGTACAAGAATGGGGACAACAGACACTGGGAACTGATTTAAGCTGAGAGGGCGAAAGGGAGGAAAGGGACACAAACTACCTACTGGATATCATGATCTCTTCCGTGGTTAGGGGGCTCTTCAGAAGAACAAATATTGCCTTCATGCAAGAAAGCTTTGTAAGTACTCTACTCATGTACCCCATGATTCTAAAGTTAAAAAGTACCAAGAAAAGAAAACTCAACATGTAGGGTTCACAAAGAGGTCAGATTTGAGACCTTAAAACCCTGTCTCATTAATTTTCCAAGATAGAAACACTGCAAGTTATTCCCTCAGATCACTGTGACACATAGCTGTAAGCAACCATCTTAAGAGAGCCAAATATAGCAAAATGTTTGCGAATTAATCAATAGGTGCCTCTTTGGGTGGCATTCGTAGGGCACACCTTGTAGTTTTGCACGAGCCTCTTATTTTCGACCTCAGAGAGTGAAGTGGAAACTTCAAGGGTTCCTTCACAGAATATCCTGTCCACAAGGTATTGTGATATAAAATTATAAGCTAACGAGTGTGAGATAGCCTTAAGATGTCAAAATATTTTCAAATAAGCACTTCAGGTACTTATTTGGTGTCATTCATACTGTACAGTCTGGTCACAGATGTGTCCCTACAAAAGGATTTTCTGCCATGAGACTCCCAATTTTCCTTCTGAATAGAAATGTAGAGCAGCTTCTGCACATGAGACCCAGCTGCTTCTTTGTCTCAGCTTGTAAGAAATTTCAGGGTACATACTTGTTTCCTCTGCCCAGAGTTGCATCTGTAATTATGTAAAAGAACACAGTGTAAAGATTAGATTATGCCTTTCAATGCACTGATTGCTGCTCATATTTGCATATAAATAACACCTAAACACACACACAAAATACCTGTAGCATCTATGCAAAAATTCCTGAATCACACTGGGAGCTAAATTCTCAAAATTAATTAGATAAAGTGCATCGGTAAGTATTATTTTAATTATTATTAGAAATCACCTGGTCTCCAAGTACTACCCAGGCCCGACCCTGCTTAGCTTCTGAGATTTATATGCAAATATGAGCAGCAAGCAGAAGTTTATTTAAAGTTTATTATGAGAAATCACATAGTACAAAAATCTATTTTATTAAGGAAATTATAGGCTAAAGTATAAATGTATTTGTTCAAATATTAGGTTAAAAATAGCGACACAATGTCAGTAAAATTGGCAATTACACTTTTAAAAATATTACTTTTACATATATTAGGGAAACAGTGTGACCTGTTGGTTGATTGGTCATCTTTTATATTTTATGTTGAAGAGCACACAAGGCTAACATCAGATGTGATGGAGAACGATGGTACATAAAACTGTAAACAACTATATGAAATAAGAATTGTCTTTATATGTCTTCTGTGACTTGGCTTGAGTAAGATAAAGTCTTATAGTCAGTTACAAAAAAAAAAGATTAGATTATGCCGTGCAATGCACAGATATCTAATATTTTATTGATAACTTACAAGACCCTTGGCTGAGTCAAAATTAAAAGACCCTAAAATTAAGAAGAGATTAAAGTTGTGAAAAAGATAAACATTTTCTGCAGAATTTCCCTTTGACAGAGATTTAAATGAAAATTTTACAATTCCTAATTCATGGATAAAATAGATGCTAAAACAAATGCCTGCACATTAAAAATTATAGTGAATGCTATCATTTAAAAATATCTATCTGTGTCAACTATGTGTCAGCAATAAAGGGCCACTCAGTACCACGGCACTAAGATATTTATATGTGTCATACATAATTTACTTTGTTGAATATTTATATCCAACTTTGATTGATAAGGACCGAATTCAGACAAATTACATTTGCCTCATAAAACGAAAGGTGGTCTTACCTGGGCAGAAAGCCCTTCTGATTTGCAGATGTTTTCCTCCACATCCTTCATGCAGGCTAGGAGAATACAGAAAAAATATCAGTACCCAGATAATTGGTGATTTTGAATCAAGTAGGGTGCTTTGACTGAGATAGTAGCCAGTCAGTAATTTGATGTCTCATCTAAGTAGCCAGTCAGTAATTTCATGGCTCATCATGGTGAAAGGTATGGAATGAGTGTTGATGGTCCTTTATCCAGATGTACCAGAAAGGTGCCAAAAATAACGGAAATCAGGTTATTAACCGAGTCCTGCATTGAGTTTGTATTTTCATTCTTACCATTTTAATCTGGCAGGATTTGAGCATTTAGGGTCTTATGGAGGTAATATTATAAAATACACCAAAATACGCCACCTATTCTTGCATTCTATGGCCAGCTGCTTTGAAAATTCACCTCAGAGTGGATAGAGGTTAGCCACATTGAACTACGTGATATCTCGCAATACTTAGGTTTTGTGAATGGACCAGAAACATCTGGGCATATACGTGCTTTTCATCAAGTGACCATGCCTTTCGGTGAGAAAATAAACCTATTACACTTCACGATAACAAAATCATGGAACCGAACGCCCAGCATATCTTTGGTAGACTGAATAAAGAACATGTGGGACAGGGCTCAGTGTGTCATCTTGTAATCCCAGCACTTTGGAAGGCCAAGGGAGTTGGATTTCCTGCGCTTGCAGGTTTGAGATCAGCCCAGGCACGTGGTGAGAGCTCAATTCCAAAATAAATTAGAAATTAACTGGGTGTGGTAGCATGTGCCTGTAGCACTGGCTACTTGGAAGGATGAGACAGAAGTGTCACCGGAGCCCAGGCGGTTGAGGCTGAGATGGCCCTGAGTGTGCCAGTGCACTCCAGCTTGGGGACTGAACGGGACCACAACTCAATTTTAAAAAGCGGTATATATTCTTCATGGAATACTAGACCCTCAATGTAAAAGAAGATCAAAATTATGTCATATTTAACAATATCTATGCAGCTGAAGACCTCATTTTAAATGAATTGTTACAGAAACATAAAACCAAAATACTGCATGTTCTCACTCACAAGTGGGTCATAAACACTGGGCACAAGAATGGAGATAAAAGAGACTGAGAACTGATTTAAGCAGGGAGGGAGAAAGAGACATATGTAGACAAAACTACCCACTGGATACCACGATCATTTCTGTGATTGGGTGGGCTGTTCAGAGGGAAAAATCTTGCCTTCCTGCCAGAAAACTGTGTAAGTAATCCTCACATGTACGCCATGATTCTAAAGTTATAACATACCCAGAAAAGAAAACTTAACACGGAGGATTCACAGAGCCATCATATTCGAGAACTTAAAGCCCAGTCTCATTAAAATTTAAAGAAGAAAAATGCTGCAAATTATGCCCTTAGATCACTGTGGCACAAAGCTTAAGCAACAATCTTAAGAGAGGCATAAATACCAAAATATTTGTAAATTAAGCAATAGGTACCTGTTTGGGTGGCTTTCCTAGGGTACACCTTTTTGTTTAGCGTGAGCTTCTTGATGCGAAGCCACTTAGAGAGAAGTGGGTCTGTTAAGGGTTCCTGGATGGGACATCCACTCCAAACCTCTCTGTGGTATAAATCTATAAGCCAAGAATAATAAGAGAGCCATACAATTGCAAAAGATTTTAAATTAAACACTTCAGTGACTTATTGGGTGACATCATATGGTACTCTCTGGTCACAGATGT